TTTGTTTGTTTTGCCAAAATTTGACGGTGCTGTTTCTTTTCGCCGTGTAGTATCTTTAGAGGATATGACTTCATGTTGCTTCCTTCTTCCTTCATGTTACGGGAGCTGTTCTTTATAACAAAAAGTTGTGCTCATGCTTAGAGCCACTTTTACTGCACATATGTGTCGGTGCAAGTTATTGTGCACGACTTTTTTTTCTTGTGAAAATGTCACGCATTCATTATTCGCCTCCGTAAATTTTGTTTTGTTTGATTTTTTTTTTTGCCTTATTCCTTTTTTATATAGGAAATGGACGAAGAACAGCAGAAACACCAAGAAGAGCTCGGTTTGTGGAAGAAGGAGGCCAAGGCTTCACAAGACAGAGTAGGTAGGATACTGCTCCAGTTATTTAATATCTGTTTATAATTATGTCCTCTCCCATGCAAGTAGTTATGAAACGAAAAGAAAACAAAATTGGCCAATAAACTCATAGTTTTGCCGAAACTGCACGGTGAGTAACTTAAACAGAAATGATACTGAACTTTAATTGTTATCTGACGATTGTTTGGATAGACTATGTGGATTTCCTTTACCCTTGCACGAGAAGCGAACGGCCAAGAATGAGTCGCTTTGCTATCTCAATGATTAAATCTGGTCACTTCGCTTAAACACTTCTTTTGCACTTCCCTGTATGTAGTTTAAAGAGGACATCACCACCATGAACCGAAGACACCGTGAGGATATCAAACGTCTGAAACGGGAATTGACTGAAGCTAAAGTGGGTGAACTCTTGATTCTCACGAGCGCTTTTCGATTGAGTGTCGAGACACCTAAATCAAAGTAACTATAGCCAATCAGCATAAAAGCGGGTAATCTCGAGGAGCCAATAAGAACTCAGAACAAAAACACGAAAACGACCTTAAACGCGGGGAAACGCGAGTGACCTAGGCGCGATTGGTTCAGTTTTTGGATCTGATTGGTTGGAGAGGGTTGCGCCAATCACAGAGACTAATCACGCATCATGGTAATACGAAACCAAAGCAATCTCGATTTCTGCGTAGACTCAGTTCAAATAATTCGTGACCTCTTTTCAGCTCGTTGTCATTGCACAGTGTGGGCTAGCTAAGGTGAAGGTGAAGCCTATCTCTTCAGGTAATGAACCTCTTTTATGTAGTCAAATCATACCGGCATAATTATAATTATAATAAAGTTCGGATATAACGCGCGCTGTCATTGGTTGAAAGAGCGTGCTCTATGAGAGTATAGAGCATAGAGCTGAGCTAAAGCTGTCACGCCATCTGCCGATTGTACTATGTTCGACCTTTTCCGGGACTTCTTTTTAGCTTTTTTCCGATAATTGAAAGTGAAATTTCGGAACTGAAGCGAGCCGGCAAGTAGCAACAGAAGAATCAAACAAAGGTTTGTAAACATACCAGGCGCCGTAATTTACGTTATTAAAACGTGAGCAGATACGAAAATCCTTAAAGGAAAAACAAAATAAACATTCCGAGTTTTAAAGACTTTCACGCTCAGTTAGATTGCAAGCTTACGAACGGTAATAAAAATCAAACACAGCTAACACTCGTATAGTATATAAAGTTCAGTGTTAAAAACAAAACAGAACAAAACAGAAGTGATGAAAAATATAACCAAACTGGCATAACTGTTAAAAATTCATACTAATCATGACGGTGTCTAAGCGAATATGATCATGCTGAGGTTCATCGCGGCTCGCTCATCATGGCGATCTCCGGTCAACACAGGAAAGCAAGACTCAGAAACTACATCGGCTGCCCTTCGAGTGAAAAAATAAGAGCTTGCTCTGATATCCTTTCCGATACGTTGAGTGGAAAGTCACATCAGTCACTGCAGCCGAGTTTTGCGGCGCTGTCATCACGAGCGTCTTCATATTCTGGTGAATTCGGCCGTCGTTCATTCAAAAAACACTCGCCTTGAACAGTTTGTTTTCTACTTTGTCATGTGAAAAAACTCGCGTGTTTTTATGAGCCATAATTCGGCTGAAGTTCACTGAACATTTCACTTCAAGATTCTGTATTAGAGACTTAAAAACTTCAGGCAAAAGTGTTAAATTCGACTTGCCGAACTATTTTAGTTTGTAAACTATCGTAGAAAGTGAACTTTGATGGTTTTTGAACTTTGATGGTTTGACACTTTTGACAGCTTTAGTCTTGTACAGCCAATCAGATTATTTGAACCGTTCTAACAGGAATTCTGATTGGCCTATTGTAGCGTGCTTTATGAGAGTATAGAGCATGCTGACGACACTGTTGTTCGCTTTGTTCAAAAATTCAAGAAGTGGGAAGAAACACTCGACTACGTCTTGTGTTTCTCCCTACACTTCTTTCGTGCTCTAGCCGCTTCCTGCGTGCTTTATAACAGAACAGAGCACAGTCAAGGCTTCTCTATTTGTTAAATAAAGGTAGTTTGGAAAGAAATTCTGCAATCTCTGATTATGAAAGTTCCTTTTCCCAAAATGTTGTATTTTCCGTAATCTTTCCAAGTAATTCTTTGTCCTGAGGTTTTGTGAGTTTTTGTACACTGTTAGGTTATCTTGAGACGACTTACATTTACGAAGGTTACTCTTTTTCTAGGAGAAAAGTGAACAAACAAAAAATGCCGATGACTCGCTCGTACAAAATCTGGAAGCGAAAATCATAGATTTGGAGAATAGCTTGCGTCAGCCGTTAGCAGACTCCGAAGAAGTTCTAAGATTAAGAACCAGGCTTCAGGAGTCGGATAAGATGCTCCAAAGTGCCGAGCAGCAGATAAACGAACTGGAAACGAGAAGTGAATCTTGGAGATAAGAGGTACCAGGTTCTTTATTCCTGAATGCCATGTCATACATGGTCCCTTCTGGTTTGTCTGTTTGTCTGTCTGTTTGGCTCTCTGTTTCTGACTGTCTGACTGTTAATTAAAAAGAATAAAAATAAAAAATAAAAAAAATTGCATGAGCTTCCTCTAAACTGTCTGCTTTCTCTTTCTAAGTCTGCGATATGTCTCCCACGATCATTATTTTCTATTCGTTTCTGAACATTTTTTGCCTGCCTGTCTGCTTTTCATCTACCGGTCTGGTTACCGCTTACGCCAAGGTTTGATGTCCTTGACAAATTTAGTTTAACTGGAAGACGAAAGGAAATAAGATTAGGTCGAAAAGGATAGAGATTCTATTTGTCTGTCTACCTATGCGTTTGTCTGCCTGTCCTTCCGTCTGTACCTCTTTGTTTTTACCTTTTTGTTGAACTTCTCCTTTCCTATCTTTTACTCGTTTATTCTTATGTGTAGTAAATAAGTTTTCATCTTCGAAGCGGAAGGGTTAAATCTTCCGGTTAAGTAGTGTACTTCAAATTTGAGATAGGGAAAAATCTTTTTTGTTAAAACTAACGTACTTCTTACTATCGTAGGTGGTCTTTTTTACAAGAAACTGTTCGACACGAGTGCGAGGAACGCTTTGAGCTGACCGATGCTCTTGGTGAAGCACGGGCTCAGTTGTTAGCTCTTCAACGCACTTCCGGTGCCTCGCTGTCACGAAGTAGTCTCAATTCATCCAGTTCTTCCAGCAACGTCGTCCGGGGTAGTCGCAAAGGACATGACGTCAATGGACAAAGTGACAATTCTACTACCCAGGCTATATCTTGCCCCGTTGGATTTGATGGAGGCGTAGGGTGTAGGCCTGGCACAGGTTCACGTGACACGAGAAAGTTGTCGCGTGAACGAAGCGTAGACGATACTCGAAAGCGAATCGACGCGGCCGTTCGGCAATCGGGGACAAAGAGCCGTTTGGGGGGAAATTTTAGCAGTTGAAAGATTCCAAATATTTTGAAAAAAGGGAGAAACTTGTAGATGTGAGTTGATGGCAGATGGGTAACGACAAGGAGATAAGATGCTCCAAAGTGCCGAGCAGCAGATAAACGAACTGGAAACGAGAAGTGAATCTTGGAGACAAGAGGTACCAGGTTCTTTATTCCTGAATGTCGTGTCATACACGGTCCCTTCTGGTTTGCGTGAAGGAAGCGTAGACGATAGTCGAAAGCGAATCGCCGCGGCCGTTCGGTAATCGGGGACAAAGAGCCGTTTGGGGGGAAATTTTAGCAGTTGAAAGATTCCAAATATTTTGGAAAAAGGGAGAAACTTGTAGATCTGAGTTGATGGCAGATGGGTATCGACAAGGAGACCAGAGAACTCTGGATAGAGATCGGGGAAACGCCTGCCAGCTGTCACAACCGCTGAGAAACTTTTTTCGAGCGAAGAGAAGAGCAAGATTTTAACAAGCATCGATTTGATTATTGTAGCGACCGTAGTACGCACCCAAGACGCATCATAGTACGTCTTATTTATGTATATTTGTATGTAGCTCCATTTTAGTGGCCTTTGCGTATAACGCACTAAGCTTTAACTTTTAAATCTTAATGCATATGGGCATTGATACAGAGTCACTGACCTAAACCTAGAATTCATGAATTAGGATTTTTGTTCTTCGTGTTTTGATACTTAGTTTTGTGATTGATTTATTCTATGCCCACGTTTCTTCTTGACGAGGAAAGAAAAACTGAGAGGCAAAGAATGTGAGTATAACTGGTTGAATCCTCAACTGATAATATAATGACTATATCCGTTGAACATACTGATTAGTTAGTTGTGGGGCCTGGGGTGTCAAAGTGCTTAGATTGACAGCCCGTGTTCCCGCCCATGAATTACGAGGCAAAATGCATAAACTCGCGTTTCTACACTAAATTCTGTGGGGATACACAGAATTTTATTTCTGTAATATCCTATTAAGGCAGGAACCCCTCTGTGTGAACTTGGTTATCTTCTTCACTGCGTGATGTCATTCACTGGTTTCCAGCAGGCTCGATATTTTCTTTTTTGTCATCTTAACAAACCAGTGTTTAGATAGTCGAAATAAAACAAGCAGCTGAATTAACTTCATTCTCAATATCTCTGACTATTTACGGAAGGCAGAGTGAATTCTTACTCTTCGAAGTATTTAAGGTAATAGGGAAGTTCATTTCCCTTGCTTCAAATTCATTTTCAGACATAATCACCATTCTAAACAACAACAAAAGGAAGACAGGAAAAAGGGAGGAAATAACTCAAATCACACACATCAATGGAATCCAAATATTCTCGTTGAACTGCAAGGTAAATCTTCCGTCAGACGCCGGTTCCGTCGACTTAGGCTCTTAATCTCCCTTCAGACGCTGTGTCCGTTGATTTAGGCTTTTAATCTCCCTCTTGCAGGCGATGTCTCCGTCGAGTTAAGCTGTTACGCTTACGGCAGACGCTGAGACCGTTTGATGCGATCATCGGAATGACTCCTCCAAAACAACGATGATGACAATGAGTGTAAGGCTTATATGGCTGGCTCTGTATCACTTTTACACTACAATCAGTGCAGGTATTGATATATGGTTTATGTCAAAATCAACTGCTTGTATTGGGGATACATTTTAATGGGGCAATGGTTTTCAGTACTGCATAGTCTATATAAGGCAAAAAGTGACAGATCGCAATTTTTGCTGGAGTCGACATTAAGGTAATGGAATCCAAACAGAATCCATGCAGAATTGCATGTCTTTCACCGCTGTCGTTCACAAATGCATAACATGGAAATAGCGTAACTTAAAAAGGACTACAGTTGATAGAACCTTAGCCATGAAGTAGAGAGAGAATACAACCGAAGGAAAGTAGGAAACGAAACAAGGGCCCGAAGTAATTGATATTAGAATGAAACACGAATTTCCCTCGCTGCATGGTTTTAATTGACTTGGTCCTCCTAATTCAGCTCTAATGAAAGTTGAGAAGTCAGTTTTTGCATTCACATTTTTCTTCATAAAAACGAAAATCTCCGTTTATTTGAAGGAGTTGATTACGGCGAGCCCAGAGCCGCCTTTATGTCACTGCGGAGTTAATCATAACCATTACAATTTCCTCAAATGTGACTGGTGCTTTAGCTGATCAATTTTTCACTTATCATGTACAGTTATGAACAGACACTTGGCCGTTATCGGACACCTGTAATGGGAGAGTTGAAGCATACAATTATACTAAAATACAAACAGAATTGATCAAAATAACCATAGCAACAACCACTTATTCTGAAAAACTGTGTTTTTTTCTAAAATAGAGGAATGTTATTTTAGACATTGTCCCCTGCTGGAGATGTTTGTCCTAGGTGTATTTTTTCTCGGAAATTGAAACGGTTATGATTAATTGGTAACAGGACTCCGTGACGTCCAACTCTATCTGTAATCATACTCGTGATTGACAAATCGATTTTGTTAATCACTCGTCTGACTACTCGGTCCTATCACCATTATAATCAAAAAGTCATACAAATGGAACTTCCATAGCAAAGAACATTTTCATCTTATGGCATTAAAAGTGCTTCATTTTCTGACGGCGCCAGACTTTCTCCTTCAGGCAAGCATCCTGGGGAGACCTGCCGGAAGGCGCAAATGAACGCAAAATAAACAACGGATCTTGGTAAATTGCGAAACTTCCAAATTTAGGAAAACATTTGCAATTTGAAAGTGTATTTTGTTTTTGCAAAGGGCATGAGAGAAATACATAACTTTAAAACGCTCGTGTAGATCGACATTTGCTCTCATGAAACCGTCTATCTGCTCCGACGTAAAGCAAACGCTTGAGAAAATCAGCTCTGAAATCCTTTAGGGTGGCAAATTTACATATTCAACTCAATCAATAAAACCAGATTATCTAGTAACATAATAATGCAGCTTTTTCTCGTATTTTTTGCATTGTCATCCTACTCCCCCAAAAAAAGTATGGGCGCTGAAAACGTACACTGACGACTTGTTAGTTCTTTCAGCTTGTAAGTTAAAAACAAACATACAAAACAAACGAAAGTAAATCTAGGAAAAGTACTTTCTTCCCTACAATTGGATGTTTATATTCTCTACGACGTTCTCTGTCGAACAATTGAAAAAAAAAAGGGGACCAGTAACCTGATGACAAGGTCTGAGAACTTGTTGTCATTCTCAGAATACTTTGTAACTATGCCTTATTCATCGAACTCATTTCATTTCTTAGCAGCTGAAGAAGAATGCCGAGTACTGCTTTATTTTAAACCAATGAAAGACAGAACTCTCCTCAATCATGTTATGATAAGAATAGATATACCAAGAGAAGATGTCTGCAGCATCCGATGTTTCCTTGAACCCAATTGCTTGTCTTATAATGTTGGACCGCTGGAACATAGCAACCGATACTTGTGTGAGATAAGCGACTCCACTGACGTACGACATCCGGGAGACTTGGTTCAGCGGTTAGGATTTACCTACCAGGGAATAAAGGTCTGTTCATCCGTGATCCACTCCCTAGGGAGTCGACTGAAATGTGTCTTACGTTCAAATCTCTTTTTTGTGCTTTTTACTGGAAGAGATTAGGTGTCTTAATGTAGCTAGCCGCCACTAGAGGTGTAAGCACAAGGAGGCCAATTAGGTGAGCTCGTCCACCTGAGCAGTGTTTTTAAATGTAACTTTCGGTGTATTACCTTTACTCAAAACTAAAATGTGCCACTTGAATAGACTCATTGTCAAATCATTACCAAGAGATTTATCGTTTTACGACAAACCCCACCAAAAATGATGCATAAATCTGGAATCAATGGACTACCACTCGTTCATTCTACGTAGAACCAGTTTCGTTAATAGGGAACTTAAGCAAACCACGACGGCGGCGGCAACAAGGACATGGAAAACAAAAGATCTTATTGGCAGAACAATAGCTCGGCACGTGCGTTTTAAAACTTTGTACATTTCTTAGCCGTCCTATGCAAAACAACAACGTGAAATCACCTCAATTTGCGAAGTCTGCGAACCGAAACCGCGTCGGCAAATTATTTTAATTTCCATTTGGAACTCACCGCTTCTTTTATATGTTATGCTGAAGTTGAGGTGTGGCACAGTATGCAGCCATTTTTAAATATCTCTAACAAAGATATTTAAGTCAATACGAAAGCTGTGCAAAGAAACAAAACTAAAAGAATTTCAATTTAAGTTTATTCATAGAATCGTGATGACAAAGAGAGAACTATTCAAATATGGTATTAAAACTGACGAAGAATGCTGCTTTTGTGGGGAAAAAGACTCAATCGATCACACCTTTATTCACTGTCCCTTTACGAAATCATTCATACAGAAAGTCATTCGGTGGTTTAACACAACGTACAATTCACAGTTCTCTCCAACTACGGAGGAACTTTTATTCGGAATTACCTCCAACTTAAACGAGAATAGTACCACCAAGAAATTCGACTACGTCACACTATTCATGCGTTATTATATCTATAGTTGTAAACTTAACAACAAGCCCATTGTCTTCCACGACTTTGTGAATGCAGTTCACCAAAGGGACCTAATTGAAAATACCGTCAATAACTAGCTCCTGACAAATGCGGTTAAAATATCTCAACTCTCTTTAAAAAATACAAAATAAAATAAAAACAAAATTTAAATAATAAAAAAGTAAATAAATAAAAAACTTAGTGGTACACCTGCCAACAGTGAAACTCTCACCAAAACACTTCAAACAATACTCCTTACGTTCTTTTTCTTTTTTCACTTTTGTTATAGTTCCTCATTTAATGTATCAAAGTCTCAATGCACAAATGTAATTTAGCAGTAATAGCTTTTCAATCAACGTATTCGGATATGGTAAAGTTATCGTTTTATGTTATTCATATTGTATTATTGAACTTTATTGTAAGTAGACTAACATCTCCCTTTGGAGAGTACGGCGCAATAAAGAGATACTATTAAAAAAAAAAAAAAAAAAAAAAAATGCAGCCATTTTTGAAATTCTAATTAAAGGCAGAGATTCAACTTTTAATCGAAGTCTTCCGTGGCGTTGCCGTCCTGACTGCGTAAGATTTTGCGTTGGACCTAAGTCTATGGTATCTTTGACCAAAAAGACGATCCTTAGAGGATTTGGGTTGTGTCACATTAAAATATATCTTGTCTCCCCCACGAGGCTCTGTAAGATTCTTATGATCCTCCCTCCCCCCCTCATTTTCAGTCAATTTGCTGTAGACCACCTATTAGACTCTGCTGGTGACAACGCGACAACTACTTCCCCCTCCCCCCCCCTCCTTACCCCAGGTAATAGATAATGACAGGTCCGTTAAAAAAGAGTGTTCCGAAGAGTTTTCTGAGAAAATTATTGTCCTTGTATCATCAGAGTCCATGTAACACTGATGTTTGCGGGAAGAATATGACTTGTCAAGCGGGTTACACCAGCAAAGGATACCGTTGTATGAAAAACATCACGTCGACGCCATTAAACTTCAGCAACCTAGTTGCCAAAGAACGTACGTATCTTCTCTCCTTAGGTTATTTCTCTTATGATAAAACACGACGACAACGACAACACTTTCAATAAAAACACAATATTTGCTAATCGAGACGGATGGAAACTCTCATCGCGATTGTTCGTTTCTTCCAAATCCAAAGCGTCTAAGTTTTATTCCATGAGCGTATAATTATGTCGCGAGATGCTTTAAATTGCTTGACTGTTAATGGCGATCAAATAAATTTGATTTGGAAAAAGCGTAAATCTTCATTATTCACTAACTTGGCTTCATCATCTTATCATGTTATATCTAAAAGTTATCTATTCCGTTTCTTTCTGCTCATCATGACGAGGTTAAATTATACGGAACGCAGCCCCTGTGGTTTTTTCTCTACTGTACTGATTCGATATAAATTGTTTTTCCTCAGACTTTCATAATTGTTCTGATGCACCCACCATAACGGGAGTTTACAATACATCTCACCATGACTGGGGCCTTTTTCCTGTGTACTGTGATCAGACATATGATGGAGGAGGTATCTCATATTCTGTATGATCGGTACAAGTTACATAATGAAACGATAAAAGAAAAATTGGTCTCAATCTGTTCCCAGTCTTGGTTCAGTACTAACTTTTCCCTTGATCAGTGCAAATATAATTGGAGAGCGTAGTCAGTGCCTTGTGGAGACTCCGTCAGTAGCTTTTCGCTCGAGCGTATTCATGGAAATGCTAGATCATCCATTCGTTTCACATGGACGATTGCATTTTTTCCACTGGTGTACGTGACTCCCTTTTCCTCTTTTTCCATCACCTGTTATTTCCATTCGCATTCTAAGCTGTCCAACACTGCTGTTGGATTAGATCAGTGATTCTTTTTTATTTTGTTCCGTAAGCGTTAGATGATGGGTGACTTTTCGAGATGACTTAATTCTTAAAATCTTTGTCTAATAAAATTTTCACCTCAGGCTGGACGATGGTATTAAAAGTTGTTAGTGGCCTCTCTCCATTGGACGTCGGTGGAATTTGGTCGTCACCCTCCCTATATCATGAAAATCTCAACGAAACCTTCGACCTAACGTCAGTTTATCCAACTCATTACAAGAATCGTATTGTACTGAACTGGAAAAATTTTAACCCTAAAGAGGTGAGGAAGGTTAATGAATGAATTACCCCAAACATTCAGTAGTACACATGCCCAAGTAAAAGCATAAGCTTCATTACCTGCAAATGACGCTTGGTACTGAAAGAGCCTCTGCAATCATTTGGGATTAAAGGCGCATGAAAGACACTGCCAATTGAAATCCTTGAAAAATATTTGATTTATGTCGAAGCTGCCACAAATTCATATTTTACCCCGTTAAAAAGTAGTTCACCTTCTCGAATGTTCATGTTACTGAATACGGAACTTGTGCCGGGGGCAGTTTGAGAAACGCTTAGATCTCCCATATAGTCAAGCAAGGCACCAAGGGTGAGCTTCTCAGATTACTAAAATACACTGTAAACATTTCTCGTGTACTTAACCCCAGTGTATACTGCTTAATACTTCCTTTACTTTTTGTAACTTCTTCGTGTAATCTTCTTGTCTACTAAAAGGATACAATCTTGCTACGAAAGGGCGACATGAGAGGGGCTGTCACCTGGTATCATTCCTTGACAATAAGGGCAAATTTAATACACTTGGTTATAGTTTATTACATCTGGGTAAGAATACTGTTGAGTGCAGTAACTAATGGAGTAGTCAAAGGCATGCAGGAACTCAAGCCACCAGGAGATCGTTCAGCAGTCAGGGGACTAATGAAAATTGTGGACTTGTGAACTTTCTCAGAATTTGAAAGTAGCAAATGGATTTGAAACGAGTAATTACTTGATTGATTAGTATGTTGACTATGATGCGAACTGTTACTAAGGATACAGTATGAAGATCCCATAACCTGGAAAATCTACTCATGTTTTGTGATATCGTAATGTTAAAGTTAACAAAAATTGTCTCTTTACAAATGGTTAATTTCAGTCGATTTTAACTTCAATGAACCTCAGGTTCGCGTCGTTATATACAAGGACAGTCAACAAGTCACCTCCCTCAAGTTCAATGCCACTGGTACAGACAACTTGAATTGGTTTTCACATGAAAACCTAATTTACTCGCCATGGAGTGATCTCAAGATGTTCCCATCCGTAAATTTTGGCCTTCTGGGTCCCATAGTTTCCGATCGCTTCTTTGAGATAACTGGCCCTTATACTGGTTGTGAAACTGATATCGGTTGGTTGGTAGTTACTAGTCACCCAGTATGTCCTTGGGACAGACGATCACCTCAGCCTAGTATCCAATACAGCAAGCAGCGCGTGGCGTCGCGTATGGAAAATTACGGTAATTTTGATATTGAAATATTTTCGGCATTGTTTTCTGTTGATAGGGTACCAATAACTAACAAAAAATTCTGTGGTTCAGGTATTACTTCATCTCATGATATTCGAGACACCAGATTTATCGCCTGAGCAGCTTTTTTCTTCCTGACGTAGTCAAAGAAGTCAAAAAGATGAACGAACATCTTCAAAAAAACAAAAGTGGTGATTGACCCCTTCCCTTCCCTCCCCTCCCCCCCACACTATTCTCTTTAATCATCAAAGGGCCACGGAAAAACGGTCAAGCAAAACACGAAATTCATGATCACGTCTTCTACTAGTTCGCATTTTCTTCCCATTTCCCGAAAATTAGTCTTTACTTATGGAAAGGTCTTGTATGAACAATCCACATTTACTACCTGGTACGTTGTTACTGTACCTGTTTGTTTCTGCTTGTTTTGTTTGTTTCTTAGTATTCACCAACGTACAGACGTACATCCGCACCATTGACTTTTCACATGCGAAATTCTCACTTCTGAATGAATATCATTTTAACTAAAGAATCATTCAGCCTTTGAAAAAAAAGCCTCTGTTATGATTCCATCTCACAGGAAATGTTGGGATTGCAGACGTCCTCGCCGTGTTTGTTCGCTAACAACAAATGATTTAAAAGGCTCAGCGGAACCTTTTCTGCAATAACGTCTTTACCGTTGTAGAAAATATTCCTGTGTTGGCATTAACTTTGTCTTTGGGGATCGTGATCTCTTGATTATATCTATAGTTGAAAAATTTAGGTTACAGTTTGTACAGTAAATAGTTTAAACCCAAATGTTACAATTGAAGTTTTCGAAATGTCAGTCATTACTGCCCACAACAGTTTTGTTCAGGACTACTCTCACCCGGACGATCACAACATAAGATCACAGGTCGCAGTTTGAGCAAAACGCTTTTGAACTCAAAGAAAGCTTACTCCTTGAGATACGATTTTATTGAACTTTTATTCTTTGCAAATCCACTGTATCCTTTAAACAGTAAAGAGGATTTATAAGCAATGAAGTACAACCCTTGTATCAGGTTTAATTCAAAACGAATCAGCTGTTAATCAAGTCTACAACTCAAAGCATTAATCTGTCACCACTTACATTTCTGTTCGGTACGAGCTCTCTAAATGTGACATAACATATCAAATAACCACTCATACAAATCCGAGTTGCTTCTTTACAGTCTTAATAATTATTTCAGGATTCTTTTAATCTAACGGATAAACGTCCATACGAAATCAGGAGTAAAAATGTACTTAGAAGGAGTTCATATTATAATTTTGACCGAACTGTTACATTAAGAGGAAGGGTGAAACCTCGTTATCAGCATATGTATATTCTCTATACTGCTCACAATATTTCCTATGATACTTAAAATGAGAATTTATTGAGATTTTATTAATTGCATTGATTTCCTTTTTTTTTCTCATTACATTAATGTTTGATTCTGCAGTGATACTTTAAGGAGAAATTAGATGCTTAAGTTGAAAGGTAGGTCGGTCGGTCAGTCAGTTTGGAGGTCTAACAATCAATCAATCAATTAGTCAAGTTTTTTCTTAATTTAATTAGATTACGTCTCTTTGCTTTGTTTATTACTTGACTGGCATCTCTGGTCTTCAACGTATGTACGCAATCATCACCTCAGCAACTCCAACATCAGCTTGAAAAAAAAAAGTTAAAATAAACATTGATAAGCAATACGTAGTAAATTATTTGTTTAGATCTCACTAAACAAACCATCATCGTAATAACTATCCATTTTTAAAGATGACTAGTGTACAAAAACATTAAAAAATCACAAATCAGATTTAGTTTGCTCTGGCCTTGTTAACATTTGCGAAGTTTTGTTATAGTTGACTCCCTCCATCATTGTACAACTTTCTCTTAAGTTTAAACTTGGATCTTGTCCTTGTAATTAACAATTATGATTAATTACCTTAACCCCAGAATAACAGTGAGTAAAAACGTTGAAGAAGAGGATTTTGTCGAATAATCCCAAGAAAATGTCGATTGGATAATTCGAAAAATATATCATAATATCTGGGGAGGAAATTTGTTCAGGTATTGTTATATCTCCATGGTCATTAATTTTAAAATTGAAAGAATATCTACGAAACCATTGGACAGGGTTTTTCAGGGCACATAATCATCACTAACAAACAAACAAACAAACAGTTACAGGGGTATTACAAGATTTTCAGAGGCAATTTCTACCTTGATTATCATTCCATGTGATATTGTGAGTTTTCTTGCTGTATAGTATTCCTGGGACAACACCTTGTCTTCTTTCCCAGCCACAGTCAGGTCCAGTAATCACAAGCCATCCAGAGTCTAGCTCACATCCCCCGTAGCTGGCAGTAATTTCAAAGCTGCGCACCCCATGGTGGCCATCGATGCGAAAGGGAAATATGTTTTTTGCGTTCCTAAGATCAGTCCATGGTGATTGAATAAGATTTTTTTGTGAAAACCAGTCCAAGTTTGTTGTCGCTTTAGCATTGAATATGATAGACACGACTTCAGTTCCATTTGTGTAAAGTGCTACACGAGCCTACAGTGACATAAAAAAATATATATCTTTAACCCTTTCACTCCCAAGATCTTATTAGTGATTCTCCTTACTATCTGCCATACAATTCTTATGATGTTAGTTCAGAGAATTTGGTATTGGATCAACTAATAACCCATAATTGATATTCTTCTCTATTCTCATCACCTACCTGCTTGATATTGTATTGATATTGTAAGGAGAAATTCTGTCTTGGTCACTTGTGGGGTTGAAGGGTTAAATGAATAAAGGGGGTAAAGTTTCTATACAAACTGTGGTGCTGCGTCGGTGCGAGAGCATAACAAGGTAATTTGGTATTATCAACCGAGTTGATGACGTGAAGTGGCCACCGTTAAGAGTTTCAAAGCTGACGTTTCGAGCGTTAGCCCCTCGTCAAAGCGTCCTGACGAAGGGCTAACGCTTGAGACGTCAGCTTTGAAACTCTTAAAAATAACTTCAATTAAGGTTGGTAATTATTGAAATTATTTTTTCTTATCTTTTTATTGATTTTACTTCGTGTTTCTTTTGATGTTTTAATTCCTTAATTTTTCTTTTTTTGTCTGTTGTTGTCCCTACATACGCGCAAGCAGCCAAGATCTGGGATCTACACCCAACAAATCTGATCATGATTGTTAATTCTCCCTTCTTGCTGCCTCGCCTTTCCTTGTAAATTAATTACGAGAATTTAAGATAAGATAACAATTCCTACCTGATAGATTTGAGTATTCTCATTACCAGTTTGCTGGATAATGTATGGATATTATGGGGAGAAGTTTCATGTTAATCACTTCAAGGGTTAAGGGAGCCTAGCCTAGCCATTCCCACATTTCACAGGTCTCAAGGCAAAAGTAGCCAAATAGTACCCTGTGTTACTTCGATGCTCATTATAAACCGAGAAACGCGTTACCTTTTAGCCAAGAATGCAACGTGTAATTACGCAGAGTGTAACATCTATAACCATTTTAGAAACTTAAAATTTCCGGGCAACAACTTTAGAAGGAAACAAACACTTTCTTCGTGCAAGACATATAGTTTGGGTTCGAGCCTCGGCCTGGGTCATTTCGCCGGGCTCTTTGTCAAGATACTAAATTCTCGCAGGGTAGCAGAAACCTGTCACGATCACTAGACGAAATTATGGGTTTTAGTTAACCACAAGTATAAAATGTTTTCACATGTGCAGGAATTGAGACGATGTTAAAAAGTGTCTTAAGAGGCGGCCCAACACAGATGTAGTTAATTCAGGCTAAAAAACCACAAAAACCTTTAGGCCACGATATTTAACCCTTTTACACCCTAACATCAGTATGCATATTCTCCATACTGTTCTCTCTACATTTCCAAAGGTGCTAACAAGGAGAATTTGTTTAAAAATCAAGAGCTGCTTTAGTTGATGATCATTTCTTTTATTCTCATGACCTTAATGTGCTATTGTGGAGTGATTCTCTATGGAGAAATTAGATACTAGTCACTCTCAGGGGTTAAAGGGTTGAAACCGTGAAGGTGTATAACAGCTTTGGTAAAGCACCAAGAAAAACTAAATCAACAGAATACTCGAAATCAAATATCCCCCTATGTTTTAAAAAGTCTTAAAGTTTCCTTTTCTTTACTTTACTTCCTTTTGCAGATTGCTGTTAAGCGGGAAATTGGCGCGCGGCCGGTCATACATCATCTATCTGCGCATACCCCAAACTTGACCAACCGCTGTGTTGAGTTTTCTACACTTAACTCATACCCTATTTAGGAAGATGTAACCCATTAGGTCAGCACAGTGTGTTAAGCGGTATTTACCTCTTTAGGACTGAACATTTGCCAACTTTGTACAATACGGTTTTTGTAGTTTCCTCGGTAGGATGAAGTGGTATCTAGGGCAGCGGTAACATTTTCTGAAAATGTGTCGGATGAATTCCAGAACTCCCCAGCAGAAAATGAAGAATTTATTCCACCAATAACTTTGAATATCATCATCCAACCTTGATTAAAGAACCAAAAAAAGTGGTTTTTAGAAATTATAAGCTTCTTGCAATCCAAATTTTCCAATTTTGAACTATCTCCATGAAACAGCGATTTAAACGCGATTTTTAGTTTATTTTCTAACCGCTCTTGACTCGTGTTAATTTGTTCCAGCTTACCCTTTAGTGGTCTTAAAATTTATGTAAAAGTAAAAACATGAAATTTTTACATTCAGAAACAGTTTCAAACTGAAACAGTCCTAAATACTAAAACCTGCCTACTTCATAACATTCTCTTGTTTTTTTCCGCCTCAATAACTGGATGTTACATTGTGACTATTCTCTTTTGACACTAAAGTTTGCTGCCGAGTGACGCAAAGGACAGAAAGAACAAGATGAAATATATGTCGGGCAATTTTGAATAGGAATAGGAAAAAACCGGGCGCGCAGCAAACAAAGCGATTTAAGGAGTTGAACCATTTGGTGCTTAAAAACCTTGCTGTAAACTTCAGATTTTTGGTGGCGAGACTGTCTCCAATGCGCTGATTTATCTTGTAATGACTGTTTAGGTATCAAAATTGACTATTTGTGAGACAGTGAGAAAGGGACAGAAAATCATCCACCTAGGAACTACAGCATCTTAAATCCGGAGGTTTTCGTGAGCAAGTCGCCTCACTACCTCAAAACAACGACTTCTACGAAAACCACTGAAGTATCTAATTCATGATCAGTGTGACACATACCTCCACCGTCCGTTGTCTGGTCGCAGTAGACAGGGAAAGGCCCTGATCCGTGATTCAAAATGTTGTAAATCCCAGTTTTCTTGGGAGCTTGAGAGCAGTTCTGAAGCTGAACGGCTGGAAATACTACAAAATACAAAAAAGAGGGGAATGAATCTTGGTATAGGATATTTGGTAAATTACCGGGTTTTTTGTTTGTTTGTTTGTTTTTTTATTTTGTACCATCAGATGAACTATGCCCAGAAGTGGGGAAAAATACGTGGATACAATTCTGTAAGGGCTATTTTAACCATAAAATAAACTTAAGGAAAATCTGCAGATACTTTACAGACATGCAGCGCAATGGCGAATCTTGCATCAAATGATTTAAACTTACTTTTTTCACAAAATTCTCCAGAGTAACCGTTCTTACAGATGCACTCGAACATCTCCAGTTTGTGTTTGGCGACAACGCAAGCTCCTCCGTTTTGGCATGGATTGGAAGAACAAGGAAACTTTAAAGGAAAAAGAAACATCACTTACAGCAGTTATTTTTTAAGCCATTTAATGTTGAAATGCTGTTTAATGATAGCGAAAGATCCTTACCTTAAAAGACGAATAGTGATGCCAACTCTTGCTTTCTTTGAGTTTGTCGGGGTCGTTAAACTTGTTGGAGGACAGTAACGCACACCACTTTTTTCCTTCGGCGGCAAAGTTCACAGAAACGCAGAGCGGATGGTCAAGACATTTTAAGATGCATTGAAAGTCATCATATGGTGTAATTATGTCAATTCGGGGTACATTTAGATAATGGAACTTGTCGACTGAAAACAGATTCTGTCTTGAATTCTGCCCATACTCGGAATCGAAATTAGTACGAGTATCTGTCGGGTGAAGATAATTCTTATAAGTTAGGATATTCTTAACTGTAATTATTTGGGGGAGAAAAGTACTGATTCCTGCAAACTAGAAACTTTGAATGGGAGTAACTGACGTTTTTGGATAGATTCTTTCCTTTTACCCGAGAAACTGCTGAAATTAGTATTGTTTCTATCAATAACGAAAGTTTACCATGTTTGCCATTATATTACGTGTTCACGTTACCATGGGAAATCCAGTTTCTCTCTTTGCTTTAAAGGTTA